AGTGGGTAAGCAGTGTTATAAACCTAAATGCCAACTAGACAAGTAAAAGAAGTATTAGAAGAAAACATGGCTGACTCTTCCACTGAGAAGTGGGGAGAGTCTTTCTACCAAGGATGCAAAACCCAGATGCCATATGAGGAGAGATCAGGATACTTTCACCAATGAAACAACTATTACCATCATTACCACCCCCACAACCACTAGTATTACCACTACTACTACTTCTAAATGATAGAATTCACCATAAACAAAGTTAAGACAATGGAGAAAACATTTGCAATATGTCATAAAAATATTAATAGCAAACATTTACAGAGCAATTGATATGAGCTTGGCCAAAGTTAGCTAAACACTTTCCCATACGCAACCATTATTATTGTGCCCAGTGTACAGACAAGGAAACCAAGAAGCAGAGAGGTGAGCTGACTTGCCCCAGGACACACAACAAGTGGGTGGAGGAGGCCGACCTCAGTCCCAGGCCATCAGGCTCCAGGGTCTATTCCTGTCTCCACCATGCTCTGTTGCCCCTCACATGTCCGTTTTTGTGTCTAATTCAAAACAAACATGACTGAGTGTCCACGCAGAGTGAGGGGCAGTCCAGCAGCAGCACCACCTTCAGCCCCTCTGTGGTACTGGTATCATGGGTGGGCTTAGTCCTGGGAGGATGGATGCTGCAGCCTGGCCCCTCACTCAGGTCTGCACGGTCCATTCCTAGGAGGTCTGGCTGACTCCTTCTAGCCGTGCCATGGTCAGACTCCCAGGCCCCAACACCAAAGGCTCCGGCCCTGAAAGCACCTTGAAGTCACCCCTTCCCTTATCAAGGGGCTGATTTCTCTCCATCTCAGGTTCCCACCACAGAGTGGCCCATCACCCCTGTCCTGGAGGAATGTTCCCTCCCCTTCTCAAGCTGAGCTTTTCTCCTCTTCAGTTCTTAAAACATCAAAACTTTGATCCTCTGGCCCATGAGACAGATCCAGCTTAATTGCCTCAGTGGGCCCAGGAGTGGAGATCAAAGCCCTGTTTAGGGAGGGCGTCCGCCACCTGCCATGTCCTCCTCTCGGGACCTGGAACACACAAAGCTCTCTAGGCCTTGGGATTAGAGAGAATCCTGAGGCTGAGAGAAAACCTGGCAGCCCGCCTGGGGGAAGGTGGGGACAGGCAGGGGATGAGAGTCTTTATGGAGCACGTATAGGTTAGAAAATGCAAACAGTCATTTCCTAAATAGATTATTTTACCCCATTAACATCTCAGCAAATTGTAAGAACTCTTTATGTACAGAGTTAATAAGAAAGAAACAAATAAAAGAAAAAAAAATGTTTAAACGTTATGAAGAGCTAATTCAAGAAGAATAAATATAAATAACCAATAAACCAATACAATGATGCACAGAGTAACTATCCACCAGGGAAATGAAAATTTAAAACTTGAGATACAATTCCCACCCCTGTGGCTGACAAAAAAATAAATAAAAATTGAAAATGTTAATTGGTGAGAGTGTTAGAAAGAGGTCATTTTCAAGCAACTTTGATTGGAACGAAAATGGATACTGTCTTGGGAGACCCATTTGACTTCTCTAACAAAATTAAAAATATGCATACTCTAATCCAGCAATTTTATTTTTAGCCTTCTATAAATACTCCTGCGTGTGAATAAGTGCATACAAAAATAACATGTAATTTACCATACAATTTTATAATATAAAATACATATTTGGATGATAGATTTAGCGACGTTTGTAAAAGAGCAAACGTTGGAATCTGGGGGAAGAGTTCATTCAATCTGCACTGTGGAACTTTTTGCTGCCATTAGAAAGTATGTTCTGGGCATGTCCCCTCCTGGGTGCCCATTCATCACACACGTGTTAGAGCACCCCGCGCATCTCTGGGCACCTCTCCAAGACCGAGGATGGAAGCCGCGGCCACATGTGGCAGTCTCTTCCATCGTCAACAGGCTCCGCCTCAAGAAAGCTCTTCCCTCTAATCAGTGGTCCTCGGTTCTCTGCCTGGTGTTGTTAGTTGCTGTTAAGTCGTCTCCAACTCATGGTGACCCCATGTACAATAGAAGGAAATTTTACCTGGTCTTGCACCATCTTCATCATCATTGGCATGCTCGAGTCCATTGTTGAGGCCACTGTGTATTTTGAGTGCCTTCCAACATAGGTGGCTCCTCTTCCAGAACTAAATGGGACAGTCTTTTGTTGTGACCCATAGAGTTTTCACTGGCTAATGTTTGGATTGTGAGACTAGTGATTGTGAGGATGATGCAGAACTGGGCAGTGTTTCCTTCTGTTGTACGTAGGGTCGCTATGAGTCGGAACCGACTCCACGGCATCTAACAATGTTTGGAAGTAGATCAACAGACCTTTCTTCCTAATCTGTCTTAGTCTGGAAGTTCCCCCAAAATCTGTCCACTACAGGTGACCCTGCTGGTATTTGAAATACCGATGGCACAGCTTCACAAATCATGGCAACATGCAAACTTCCGCATAGGATAGACTGACAGACTGGTGGTGGTCTCTGCCTGCAGGTGATGCATTTACACAGACCCTCTGCCTGGGAATCAATGATGCCTGGAATCAAACACCACTGAGAGGTGGGCATGACAGCATGACCTGGGTAGAAAAGATGAAGATGATCTTGATCTGGGAAAGCTCTTCCATATTAACTTAAACCATGCCAAGCCTCAGATAAACCTGACCTCTGCTTGAGAAATACCTGCCAGGAGCTGGCAGTTTCTGCTTCTGGAACTCCGTCTGGAAATTCCTAGCCTAGGCCCTGTTGTGCCTGCAGGCAGGCGTGCACCCAAACAGGTGCAGATCATCCTGTTTGTGAGACCTCTTCGAGCCCGGTTGCTCCCCGCATATCAAGGTCATTAGCACACCAGGCAATCAACTTCACAAGTTGCAATTGTGAAGCATCCCAGCGTGAGCAGAGCTACTTGTCATTCTGCAGGCAGAGGCCCTTCCTGCATAGTGTGGCTGCCTGAGGATCTTTCCCAAACACACATCTCATCCTGAGCCTCCTGCTAAAATGCCTTTCCTCATTCTCTGAGCCTGCAGGGCCAAACTCAAGCCCCTTAGCCTGGCTTCTCAGGTCTCCCATCAAGGCACCTCTGCCTGTGCCCCGTCCTCCCCTCCAGCCCCTGCGGCCAAGCAGCTCACTGTCCAGGTAGGCTCAGCTCTGTGCAGGCCTCTGACCTTCCTCAGCCCCTCTCACCCCTGGAGCTCCCAGTGGGCTGTTCTTTCTCTCTGCCTTGCTCTCCTCCCACAGTATGGCCAGTTCAGCCCCCTCTGGTCTGTTCTTTAAGACACAGCTTAGACTTCCTCTCTTCTAGAAGCCTCCCCCACACCACCCTATCCCCAGGGTGGATTACAGCACCTCCTCTCTGCCCCCTCAGCACCCTGTCGTGCCATCTGTTACCATGTCATTGTCGGCCACAGGACTGTGAGCTCCACGAGGATGGGGCCCCATCTGGTTTTTATGTCTCCCCCATACAGCTGGCAACCATGTCTGGCATGCTTTTGTTGAATGTGTGAATGAATGAATGAAACAAAAATAAACTCTGTCTTAAGAAAACACGCATGGAGGTCAGAAACAATTACTGAAAACATGAGCAGATGCCAACCACCTTTAATATGTCAGAGGATCCAAGATTGCAAACCACAGAGATAGCCATCGATGATGAGCCTTCACTTTGCAAAACTGATCAAATCACCCTCCTTGTCCCTCCCACCCCACCCCTGTCACCTCTACTATTTCCTAGATTTCATCCTTGGAATTCCACTTTAGCCAAATCTTTGGACACGAACCTTATTCAAGATATTGAGAAACTTCCTGGAACTTAAAGGGCACAGTATTGATCACTCACCCACATTCCTACTTGTTTAGGTCTTGGATTAAATTGAACCCACTGAGTGCTCCCTTCAGTAGCACATATACTAAAGTTGTAATGATACAGAGAAGACTAGCATGTCCTCTGAGCAAAGATGATGTGCAAATTCATGAAGCTTTCCATATTTTTGGACAGGAAAAATGGACAAGTGGACACAGGGATCCCAGGGTGGAAAGGGGGAGACTTCTGTCACATTGTGGGGATTGCAACCCACGTCATGAAACAATATGTGTATAAATTTTTGAGTGAGAAACTAACTTGATCTGTAATTTTCACCTAAAGCACAATAAAATTACAAATAAATAAATACAGCCCACTGAAAGATCGTATTGGCTCTGAAATCAGCTCCCCAGTCTACCCCGTCTAGCTCCTGTGATCCTGCAATCATCTCAGTCTACATCCCTGGATTTGTGGCATGCAATTTCCTCCAGATATCTCAAAAAAAAAAAAGAGAGAGAGAGAGAGAAAGAAAGCAAACAGAACAGAAAACAGAACCAACCAAAAAACAAACACACATCTTTACCAGCCAGTGTCTTCATGAAGCTCACAGTCCATGGGGAACTAGAGACAAATAAGTAAACAGAACAAATAAGAAAAATGGAAGAATGTGGGCCAATGCAGTAGAGAGAACAGAAGGACTCATTTCAACCTGGAAGATGAGGGGTGGTCTCATAGAGGACATGACATGAGCTAGATCTTGAGATGAAGAAGAGCTCAAGGAGAGGGAAAAGAAATCATAGACAGAGGGAAGAGTCAGAACAGCCAAAGAGAGCCCAAAAGGCATCAAAGATCATGAACTCCAGAGGGTCTACCGGAAGGTTCCATGTGATTACCAGGTGAGGGAAAGGTGAAGTGTCAGAAACAAGACTGGAAAAGGCCAGGTACAGACAGACTTTGGGTGGTGGCCTACTGGACATGGATTTCAGCCACTTTCTAAAAGAACCTAAAGGGAATTCAGTGGCTAGCCAACCTGAATAGTATCCAATTCTGGCAGCGTGTCAGTGCCACACATCTAGCGTTATCCTGCACAGTAACTAGGATGATGATAACAAATTTGACAGCACAGAATCAGACCCACATGGGAGAACATCTATAATAGACTTCAGGCTGGCCCTTATTTCTTGGCACAAGCATTTACTGCAGATTTCAAAATGGCAATCCGTTTTTTGAAGGTCGGCAGTTCATATCCACCAGCTGCTCCTTGGAAACCCTATGGGGCCGTTCTACTCTGTCCTACAGAGTCGCTATGAGTCAGAATTCACTCGACAGCATCGGGTTTGGTTTTATACTTGGTGGGAAGCCCTGGCTGCACAGTGGTTAAGCACTCAGCTGCTAGCTGAAAGAAAGGTCAGCGGTTTGAACTTACCAGCCAATCCACAGGAGAAAGATGTGGCAGTCTATTTCCATAATGATTACGGCCTTGGAAACCCTATGGGACAGTTCTACACTGTCCTATAGGGTCACTATGAGTCAGAATCGACTCAGTCGCTATGGGTATATTTTATAGGTGATGCGGATCATGGCTCCAAGTTAGACATTACTAAATGCCCTGAGATCATCATTGTCTCATAGATAAATATATACAGACCACAAAATAATTTTCACGTTGATGTGAATCTTTAAAGGAACATTTCAGATAAAACAGCACCCTCTTCAAATCTTCAAGCCCATGATTTTTAGTGTGTTTGATTTTCCAATTCCGAGCTTCTTGTTTAATGAATTGCTAAGTTGCCTCTGGAAAGGGATTTCTAAAACCTAAATTTGGGAACCATCAGCTAAGTCATCTCTAATAACTATCTCTGTTTTCTATTCAAAAACACATTTTGTTTCTCATTTCTCCATGCTTCAATGAAGACGCCTATTCTAGAGTTTACTCACTGCTAGACTTAGATGGGAGGGTGCCATGCAGATGAACACATGTTTTGGAATACCCCACTGATTACTATTCTTCCCTGTACAGAGTCGAAATCGTGGCATTTGACATGCAATAAGAATAGACTGCAAATAAATTATTCCAACATTCAAGATTCAGCAGAAGCAAAAAATACATTTTGTCAAGCACTTTTGACTTCATGAATAAGCTTCACATTCCAGAGCATTCAGTTCAATATAAGATTTACTTGAACTTATCAAAACCGTACCCAAAAATCACTTAATGTCTGAAGGACTTCTCTACTTACAAAACAACTTTCCTAAAGATCTGTTGGACTAACAGCAAGTTTAATGCACCCGGAAGGAGAAAGCTCTGCTGCTAAAACTGCAAACTATAAAGGAGTTTGGATGAACCTTATATCAGTATGCCCCTCCACCAAACTTTTGAATGGAGGATGTTGTAAATCATCAGTGGGGTCCAGAAAGTTCCTCTTCTGAGGTGGCTGCAGCAGATGTACATACTCGGCCTCTTGGGGAGACCCAAGGTGGGGCAAGGGTCTGGACTGAAACAACACAGGGGAGAAGGCCACCAGAACCAGATCCCGGAACAGCCCAAAACCAAGTGGGATGGGGAGTCTGTTCAGATGAGAGCATTAAGATGTTGAAGTACCCAGGAATTAGCCAGTTACCATCAAGTTGATTCTGCCTCATGGCGACCCCATGCATGTCAGTAGAACTATGCTCCATAGGTTTTTCAATGGCTGATTTTTCAGCAGTAGATCTCCAGGGCTTTATTCTGAGGTGCCTCTAGGTTGACTCGAACCTGCAGCATTTTGGTGAGCAGCTGAGCCAGTTAACCATTTACACCACTCAAGGACTCCACCCAGAAATTAACAAATTAACATATGCCTGCTCCAGCCAAACTCTCCTGAGCAGTGATTTCTTGCTTCTGGATTTAGACCAAGGTCCTACTCAACTTAGAGGGTATCTCCATCTTCACTGTTAATGAGAATACTTCTGTGACAACCTAGCAAAATACCAATGTGCTAAGACTTGAAATAGAAGTACCAAAATCTGGAGAAACCTGGTGAATGCCTCTCCTGACTTCCTGGCTGCCTTTCTAGAAGAAATGGCACCCAAATCCAGAACTCGAAGGGTGATACCATAGTCCTCTTCACCCTGACACACAGTGGGATGGCATGTGAAAGAAAGCTGGGCACTAAGAAAGGAAGACTGAAGAAGAATTGATGCATTTGAATTGTGGTGTTGGCGAAGAATATTGAATATCTGTCTTGGGGAAAGTACAGCCAGAACTCTTCTTAGAAGCAAAGATGGCAAGACTTCATCTTGCTTACTTTGGACATGGAATCAGAAGGGACAAATTGCTAGAAAAAGACATCATGCTTGGGAAAGAAGAGGGTCCACCAGAAACAAGAGAAACCCTCAGTGAGATGGACTGACACATTAGCTACAACAATGGGCTCAAACATAGCAATGATTGTGAGGACGGTGCAGGACAGGCAACATTTCTTTCTGTTAAATGAGGTCATTATGAGTCAGGGTCATCCTAGTGGCTCAATAGTTAAACACTTGACTGCTAACTGAAAGGTTGTTGGTACAAACCCACCCAGCAACTCCTCAGGAGAAAGACCTAGTGATCTGCTCCTGTAAAAATTACTGCTTAGAAAACCCTACGGGGCAGTTCTACTCTGTCACATGGGATTGCTATGAGTTGAAAATAGGGCCTAACAACAACAACAGGTATGTATCCCATAATTTTTCAGAGCCTCAGTTTCCTTGTCTATAAAATAGGGGTAATAAAACACAGAATGTCTTCTTGAGAGAGTTCTAGTGAGTATCTGATATGAAGAAACATGAGAAACTGCACCACAAATTATGAAAAACACCGAGATGCAAATCGCAATGATTATTTATAAGGACCCAAGGGTTATCCCAAGACATATTCCCAGCATCTCAATTCTTCCATCTCTTCTTTGGGACACCTCATCTCTCCCTAAATGCCTCCCTGTGCTGGAATACAGCCTCCCCTGCTGGTCTCTAAATTAGTGCATTCTCTTGTCACCCCTCCTCCGGAGAATTTCAATTCCTTTCATCCAATGAAATAAGAAGTTCAGGCCATCATCTTCAAAGAATAAGAATAAAACTTGGGGACCAAAATTATACCCATCGGGATCGCTTCTGCAGAAATACTTTGGAATTCCTTTTCATGCCCTATTAAATAATTAACATGTTTCTTTTCTGCATTCAATGTTAGTTATTTAAACCCTAGTCCTAAGCTCCATTAGCAACCTTATTAGCACAAAACTTTCTTTGCCAGTTGGATTAGTTTTATAGATTTTTGCATAGAAGGAATGTATGCAGACAAATACAAGTGCATGGCTGTGGTTAATGTTCTACAATCCAAGGAAACAGGTTAAATTTAAGCTAACACGATTAATCTCCCTCCACCTAATAGCTTATTAGCGTAATCGATGCCCTCCATTTGTATCAGGAGCCATTAGCACATCAAAACCAGTTTCGTGGATTCTACCAACTTTGAGTGGCACCATACCCTACGATTCCATCGCAGAGTGGGTGCTCAGTGTTATTGATTTGATATTATGTAATTAGCCAAAACAACAGTCACGAAATGGTGGGACAGGGGAACACTAGGCTTATCCTGTAGATGTAGCCACAAAACCAATGGAATAAAATTAAGAAATTCAGACGTTTCCTTCATCCTTACACTCAAGCCCTACTTACTTAGACATTACAGTCCAATGTCCTCGTTCAGTGATAAACCTAGAGCGAGAGGGAGTTGCTAGTGAAAGCCTACAGAACTGGAAAGCAAACAAACAAACAGAAAACCAAACCAGTTGCTGTCGAGTCAATTCCAGCTGACCAACTGCACGTGTGTCACAGTAGAACTGTGCTCCACAGAATTTTCAATGGTTTATTTTTTTGGATGTAGCTCACCAAACATTTCTTCCCAGGCACCTCTGGGTGGACTCAAACCTCCAAGTTTTTGGTTAGCAGCCAAGCATGTTCACCATTTGCAACATGCAGGGACTCCCATGAAAGTCTAAGGTTAGATGTTCTTTGTTGTTAGTTCTGACTCATAGCAACCCTATGTACAACAGAACAAAACGCTGTCTGGTCCTGTGCCATCCTCACAAGGCTGTTATGTTTGAGCTCATTGTTGTAGCCACTGTGTCAATCCATCTCATTGAGGGTCTTCCTCTTTTTCCCTGACCCTC